ACGCTCTATCCACTGAGCCAAACCGGCTTCGGTTGCCCTCTGACATTATATGTGAGGTTGAGCATCTCTTCATATGCTAAGAGCTCTAAATTCTAGTTCAAATTCTAGATCTTGCCTATTTTTCCTCTTCAATTGCTAGGCTTCTAGTTATGGATTTCTGGGAGTTCTTTCTATATTAGGGTGACTATTTTGTAGGCCTCTTTCCTAATGGAAAAAAGTTGGGAATATAGCTTCAAAGTCAGACCGCCTTGGGTTGAAGGCCTGATTTTGTTGCTTCCTCACGGTGGCGCTCCGATGAGGATGCATCCCCACCCTGCCTCGGTTTCCCCGTGGATAATGGGGTAACAAGAGTCTCCGTCTTACCATGATGATGGTGATGGTCTCACCTTCCCCCTTCAGGGCCGCAGCAGCTCCAAGGCTAAGAAACCGCCTGGCGAGAATGACTTCGACACCATCAAACTCATTAGCAATGGTGCTTACGGGTGAGCCACCTGGGGCTCTGGCGGGGGGAGGGTAGCAGAGGCCGGGTGTCTCAAGGTGATGGCCGGTCCTCGCTCTCTCCCCCTGCAGCGCTGTTTACCTGGTGCGGCACCGGGACACGCGGCAGCGCTTCGCCATGAAAAAGATCAACAAGCAGAACCTGATCCTGCGCAACCAGATCCAGCAGGTCTTCGTGGAGCGCGACATCCTCACCTTTGCGGAGAACCCCTTCGTGGTCAGCATGTTCTGCTCCTTCGAGACCCGGCGCCACCTCTGCATGGTCATGGAGTACGTGGAAGGTGCGGTCCCGGGGTCGGCATGCCTCCAGCAGCAGGGAGCTCACCCTCTCTCTGCCTGGAAGAGGGCCCTGCTCTGTCCTCCAGGGGGTCCCGGCCTGCCTCGGAAGCCCTCAGCCTAAGGTGGGGGATCAGGGCTGGGGGAGCCCAAAGAAGAGTGTAGGTGGGGAGTCTTTGGGTCAGAGAGCCCCAAAGGCAGCAACAGCGTGTGTAGGTTCCTTATAACCCCAGGGTTTATCTGTGTCTGGGAGGCGTTGTTAGGGTGGGGCCCCTGGAGGGTAGGGGAGAGATGTCCATCCTTGCAGGGGAGACTGGTGGACAGAGGCCTGGAGGCTGAAAGAACGGGAGGGGTAGGGAGGAGTTTCGGCTTCAGGTTTGCAGTTCAGGATAGAGCAGTACCTTCAGGTAAGTGCCTGAACGGGCACCAGGGCGCTACCAGGCAAGGAGAGAGCATACACTTTGGGGCCACCACTGTGTACAGGGAAACCACTGTGCACTTGACACAGCTGCTCCTCTATCCGGGGAAAATCAGGAGGCAGGGTCTGTCCTCCCCAGACCCCTGCCCGGTTCCCCACCCGGATTCAGGAACCCCTGGGGACCTTATGCACCAGGCGGGGAGTTAGAACCATGGGGCAGGGTTGTAGAGACTACGCCTCTGAGCACGTGTGCCCCTTGCAGGCGGTGACTGTGCCACGCTTTTGAAGAACATGGGCCCGCTGCCCGTGGACATGGCCCGCATGTACTTTGCAGAGACGGTCCTGGCGCTGGAATACCTGCACAACTACGGCATTGTGCACCGAGACCTCAAGCCTGACAAGTAAGCAGCTGAGGCCGCAGGCGGTCCCCGGAGGGTTGGGGGTGGGATTGGGGTTGGGGTTGGGCATGGGGTTTGGAGCCACGCAGAGGGGCGGGGCATCAGTGGCCTCTGGGGCTGCTCAGGAGCCCTACTTATCTGGATTCTGTTGGCAACATGGGGCCCCTACCGTGGGGAAGGCAGGGAACTTGCACATCTTGAGCATCTGGTGTGTACAGAGGAGAGCAGTTAATTAATAGGCACTTGTTGTATACAGGGAAAGGACTGCACTTAGGAGGTGGTGCCAGGAAAGGGGAGGGAATGTGCACTTAGGATGCAGAACTGCACATGGGAAGGGAGCGTGCATTCGGAGCTGCTACTGCACAAGGGGAAAAAACCTGCACTTATGAGGCGCCAGCTATATACAGGGAAAAGGAACATGCATGTTGCAAGGCCTTATATGTGAAGAAAGGGACTGTGCATGTCATGAGCACGTGTTGTGTTTTAGTTCAGGAAAGAAAGGAAGAGACCATGTTTATTGAGTCTTGGGATATTTGTTTTATTCTAGCATTTAGTAAGCACCTACTGTGTGCCAGGTTCTCTGTGGGTGTCTGGGAGACATGCGCGTGAATGTGAATCATCCTTCATGCTTTGTAGTCCCTACATAATTTTCCAAGCACTCTCCCCTGCATTAATTGAGCACCTGCTGTGTACAAAGGAAAAGGCCACCCATATATTGAGTGCCCTCTGGATATGAGGCAAGAACCACATGTTTCTTAGGTACTTGCTATGTGGAGGTGTGAACGTAAGTGGTAAGAGCCCTGTGTGTTTTCAGAGCACTTTGTAATTTGCAAGTGGCTTAGAAAACAAAACCAGTGTGTATTTGGCACCTGCTGTATACCGGGCCTGTGTTCAATGCTCTAAGGAAGCTGTGTGCCCAACAGGCCTCTTTGAGATCACCCTGGGGTGGGGTCGGGTGGGGTGGGGTCTTCCGAGTGTCTCAGGTCAGACCCCAATGAAGAGTCTGCCCCTTTCAGCATCCTCACCTGCAAGACGGGGCTAGAAGGTGCCCAACTTTGCAGGGGTGAGGGAGGGATAGGTGCACACAGTAGGTGCTTCAGATAAATCTTTGGAAAATTTCAAATGCACCCCAAAGCCAAGAGAAGGTACATTAGTTCTCTAGGGCTGCCATAACAAAATACCATAGACTGGGCAGTTTAAACAACAGAAGTTTATTCTCACAGTCTGGACCCCAAAAGTCCAAGATCAGGGTGTCAGCAGGGCCGCACCCTCTCTGAAGGCACCAGGGAGGGACCTGTTCCAGGCTCTCCCCCAGCTTCTGGTAGTTCCTTGGTTTGTGGCAGTGTCACTTCCGTGTTCACATGGCATCTCCCTCTGTGCATGTCTGAGTCCAAATGTTCCCTGTTTACAAGGACACCGGTCATACTGGATTAGAGACTGCCCTACCCCAATCTGCCCTTACTTTAAGTACTCACATGTCCAACAACGCTCTCTCCATGTGAGGTCACGTCCGTAGTTACTGGGGGTTAGGACTTCAGCGTGTATATTTTGGGGGGACGCACTTCAGCCCATAACAGAAGTGCCCACCCCCATACTCAGGTTCCACAGCTGCCAACACTTGGCCAGTCCTTTCCTCCCTCCCTGCTGGAAGATTTGAAGGCAATCCCAGGCATCATATCATTTCATTTATAAGAAGAAAAAAATTTTTAAATAGCAGATACAGTCAGCATTTTGCCTGGCCGGTGTGGCTCAGCGATTGAATGTTGACCTATGAACCAGGAGGTCATGGTTCGATACCCGGTCAGGACACATACCTGGGTTGCAGGCTCAATCCCAGTGGGGGGCATGTAGGAGGCAGCCCATCAGGAATTCTCTCTTATCATTGATGTTTCTCTCTGAAATCAATTATATATATGTATATGTATTTACAAACTGAACGTATTTTAGACAGTGTGCCGTAGGAGCTCAGGAAATTTTGGTGGTCGTCTTAGCACGGCCTTGGTGCTGGAGCATGTGGCTGTACCTGACAGCTACACCAATGTGTTTCTTTTTTTAAATATATTTTTATTGATTTCAGAGAGGAAGGGAGAGGGAGAGGGAGAGAGAGATAGAAACATCAATGATGATAGAGAATCATTGATCAGTTGCCTCCTGCATGCCCCCTACTGGGGATTGAGCCCGCACCCCAGGCATGTGCCCTTGACCGGAATCTAACCTGGGACCCTTCAGTCCGCAGGCCAACGCTCGATCCACTGAGCCTAACTAGCTAGGGCACCAAAGTGTTCTTGTTTTTTAAATATATTTTATTGATTTTTTTACAGAGAGGAAGGGAGAGGGAGAGAGGATTAGAAACATTGATGAGAGAGAAACATTGATCAGCTGCCTCCTGCACACCCCCTACTGGGGATGTGCCCGCAACCAAGGTCCATGCCCTTGACCGGAATTGAACCTGGGACCCTTCAAGTTCGCAGGCCGATGCTCTATCCACTGAGCCAAACCAGTTAGGGCACCAAAGTGTTTTATATGCAGCTGTTGCACACAGTGGTTGCTCAAGAAACAATCTTATTTTTAAAAAACAGTGAATACATATAATAAGTGCACAGAATTGTTTTTTTACAGAGTTGAGGTACACAAGTGGTGCCAAATAGATGGCTCATCCAACAACTTGGCTATATACAGTGAGTTCTACAGAAACTTATTTTTAAGCAGGCGAGGGTTCTAGGAGGTACATGAAAATGTGACTATAAAGATGGACCATGTGATTCGATCATTTAGTAAATAATTCCTATATTTAAGCAAGAAAACAAATAGCAGTATACATGGTAGGTGTGCAAGTTTGTTTTTGTGTTTTTTTTTAATATATTTTATTGGTTTTTTACAGAGAGGAAAGGAGAGAGATAGAGAGTTAGAAACATCGATGAGAGAGAAACATCGACCAGCTGCCTCCTGCACACTCCCCACTGGGGATGTGCCCACAACCCAGGTACATGCCCTTGACCGGAACCGACCCTGGGACCTTTCAGTCCGCAGGCCGACGCTCTATCCACTGAGCCAGACCGGTTTCGGCTGCAAGTTTGTTTTTTATTTTTTTTCATCCTTACCCAAGGATATGTTTTATTGATTTTTTTTCTTTTTTTTTATAGAGAGAGGAAAGGAGAGAGAGCAAGAGGGAGAGAGAGAGAAAGATCGAGGTAAGAGAGAAACATAGATCGGTCGCCTCCCGTGTGCGCCCTGACTGGAGATCGAAACCACAGCCTTTTGGTGTACGGCAGGCATGTCAAAGGCCAACACGGGCCAAATAAACGAGGTTGAAGTTCACGTGGGCCGCAAAAACACAAAAGCCAAAGTTACGACATTTTTATTAAAACGTTTCTTACTTACCATTATATTGTCTGGGCTGCAAAAATGTTCATTGTGGGTGGTGAGTTTGACATGCTTGGTATAGAGGATGACACTTGAACCAACTGAGCCACCAGCCAGGGCTAGATGTGCAAGTTTTTAAAAAATGGTCCAGCCCTGCGATAGAGACATGCTGAATACAAAGGCCTGAAATGAATGAGTCATCGTTACATAAAATAATAGACCATTTTAATAAAAATTAATGTTGTTTCTTGAACATTAACTTACCAGACACTGAATAACTGCACCAATTAATAATCGTAATGCATATAGATCTATTTTTCTTGCTCTACGAAAGTGAAATATTTCCTGTTGCACACACCAAACAAGTCAGTCCAAGACTAATGATGTGGCAATCAGCTGCTAAAATACTCACTGCTAGTATTAGTAAT